ATCAGTGAAAACTAAAGAACATAAGAGTGAGCTAGGTGGGGAGGGGAAAACATTATTCAACAACTCGAAAAGTTTATCTTGCCGAGCTTTAGAAGAAAGCACTTGGGTGTTCTCAACACAGGGTAATCCTGAACCAGGTGCATTAACTTCGCTCGTCGCCCGGTGAATAAAGCAAGCAAAGAGCAGTCCATGTGCAGGGCCATCTGCATAGGGTCTTGGTCGAGCGTAGTCGGATCTTCTGTTGCCATGCGTACACTCCACACCAGCGCAAGGCCGGTCTCGAGGCGTTGTTTTTTATCCTAAAGCACCTGCGATTCCCCGGGTTCCCCTCAGATGTGTACGGTGTTATGACGCAAAGATCCGATCACGCTCGCCCAAGACCCTATGCAGTGCTGGATCAGGCGTTGCACACTCTGGGAGTTATCTGCTCTTGGTCATGGTACATGTATCTACATCTCACCGGAGGGTGTACCCCACATTCTCACAGCTTTTCATACCTTCTCCTGGCATATATACTGGCATGGTCGGCACTCAATCTTCATGTTGCCTGATGATTGCGAGAGAGCATGAAACTTCAAGTCGCAGCAAACAAGCCTGGATTGTCCTTGTTGTTCTGTTCTGTATCTACATCTCTGTACACTGACAGTCCTTGTTGTTCTGTTCTGTATCTACATCTCTGTACACTGACAGTCCTCGTTGTTCTGTTCTGTATCTACATCTCTGTACACTGACAGTCCTTGTTGTTCTGTTCTGTATCTACATCTCTGTACACTGACAGTCCTTGTTGTTCTGTTCTGTATCTACATCTCTGTACACTGACAGTCCTTGTTGTTCTGTTCTGTATCTACATCTCTGTTCACTGACAGTCCTTGGTATGTACTTGTACACTCATACCTTGTTTACCGGGCAGGCAGCGACCGGGCAGCGACCGGGCACTGCCCGTAGCTTTGAAATATCCCCAACTCTGAATCACATACGTTTTGATGCGGGAAAGGCCACAGATATGGCGTGTGATGCCACTATTTCCAGTTTTCCATTGTAAGAAATTAGCCGAAAGTTGCAATATTTCTACTCAAACACACCCAAAGGGTGCCATGGTGTAGACTGAAGTGCCCGTTACGCTGGCGTCCGGATGACTGAGGTATGAGTGTGCATAGAGTAAAATTGGGAATTTTCGGCGATGTAAAACTTTCGGTACTTCCCCAAATCAACGGTTCGGTGGCGCGGAAATTTCAGTAAACCGGTTTTCCAGATCCGAAAATGCATATTGGACACTGTGTGGCAGTGGCTTGTTGAATTTTAGGTCGTACATAGTTGTATAATTGGAAATTTTCGGTGTAAAACTTTCGGTATTTCCCCAAATCAACCGTTTGGTGGCGCGGAAATTTCGGTAAACCAGTTTTCCAGATCCGAAAATGCATTTTGCACACTGTGTGGCAGTGGCTTGTTGAATTTTAGGTCGAGTTTTATTTTTAGGTAAACATTACCTGTACATGTACCGAAGTTAGTTGCCGAAAATAGATGTGCACCGAATTTTTCCCTTTTAACAGTTGTTCCAACAATGGCGATGGTATAAGTAAGTCCCACTGCTTTTACGGTGCTACACCGAGTGTTTGCATGCAGTGGCTTTGTCAATGTTGTAAACGGACTCGCAGCACCACAAGCTGTCAAGCATCAAGTCCTTCTGAATTCCACGCTCCTGCCTCTCGTTAATGACCTTCCTTTCACACCAGTTTTCGCACAGTGAAACAAAAGAGTGTTCCATGCCATGTCTTTGTCAATGTTGTCGATCGACGCACAGCTCACTCTGTTAGGCATCAGCTCATTCTGAATTCCACGCTCCTGCCTTTGCTTGACCATGGTAATCTTGTATCGATCAAATGTGTCCCTTCCCGCTGTGTAATGCCGGACCGTGACAGTGTGGCAAGGAGGGTCTTCGAATGACTGTATGTTTCCACTACATCTGCTAACACCAGCTGCAGTGGAAACACACACTGTGGCTTCGCAGCATGCAGCATTGAGGACAAAACGTGCATCGCCCGGAGACATTTTGTTTGCTGGTGTGTTCCAAGTGGCATTTCCATTGGGGATTTCTGTCCCGTCACCGTCAAGTGTGACTCTAATCCATGCCTGGTGGGCATGGTGTGGATGGCTAGTGGGTGGGGATGCCTGGTGGGGATGCCTGGTGGGGATGCCTGGTGGGGATGCCTGGTACATGCAGTGCCTGCTGTGTGTTCGATCATCTTCTGAGCAAACAGCTGAATGCCTCTTTTCTTCACTCTGGTTTATACTATCGTCGTTTTTTTATTATTTCCCGACGATAGCCCTTCCGATTACTCTCTCACATGTACCACAAACAGAGGACTGATATTTGTCGTTCTTACCTCAAGCTTACCGAAGTTACTCACGCGGGGAATTGAAAGGCACCGGGAATATTCATTAGAGAGTCGTTGGGTAGTCGGTAGAGCGGAGGAGAGTCTCAGGAAGAAGGCCCAAAACAACAAGAATGCGTACAATAATTATGCAAGCATGCGCAATCTGCGCAGTCCGCGCGCGGTCCGCACACACATGCCAAAAGGGGCACAAACCCTCTAAAAGGGCAGGCAGGGACAACAATACGATCTCAACGTGCTCTGCTAGCACTTCCATTATCTGGCTGAGAAGCCATTTTGCCGGTTTGTGTGTGTCAGTGGCAACGTGGTGCATGAAGTGGTCGTCAACTGTGACCAATAGCTTTGCACTCTTTGCGAGTAGTTGCTCTCCAGCCAGCACGAGTGTTGCTGCTAAAGCCGTGTTCATGTCCCGCTGTGCTAGGATAATGGCATTTTAGCTGATGGTCTGTGCTTGCATAGCCGTCTACTGTGGCAGCGTGGTGCATGAAGTGGGCGTGGAGTGTGACCAGTAAAACTGCACTCTTTGCGAGTACTTGCTCTCCAGCCAGCACGAGTGTTGCTGCTAAAGCCGTGTTTATGTCCCGCTGTGCTAGGATAATGGCATTCAGTTGGTGGTCTGTGCTTGCGTAGCTGTCTACTGTAACCAAGGCCAGGTGCGCATTGTAGCACTTGGTACAGTAGATGGCGTCCTCCGAAACCGTGATGCCATCATTCTTCAACTTTGCTGCCACAGTCTTGGAATTTGCAGCCTTCCGCAATGGCTCAAGCTCCATTGGTGCATGGCATTCGCCACAGAGCTGCTTGCGACCGCTGGTCAGCTGATGATGCCATCATTCTTCAACTTTGCTGCCACAACCTCCACAAATTTGTTTGCCACCTCTACCCCATGGGTATCGGCGACGGCGAGCCACTCTTGCCTGTCATCTAAAATGTTCTCACCTTCTTCAGGTTTTTTGTCGCGCTTCTCAGCCGGTCTGACTTCAGTACCCTCCGCACTTTCTCCAGGCGCTCCTGGAGCCGGGCGTTTACTGCGTGCTGGTGCTCATACGCCACGTTCCTCCATTTGCTGGGGCCCGTTGAAGTAGCACGAGAGCGACGGCGATGACGGCGAGCCTTCTTGCCGGAACTTTTTGATTTTTTTAATTTTTTGGATCTGGAAAAGTGTACACGACTGCATCATTTGCTGCATTCCGCAATTCCGCTCAAGATTATGGCCGCTGGTCAGCTGATGATGCCATCTGTCTTCAACTTTGCTGCCACAACCTCCACAAATTTGTTTGCCACCTCTACCCCATGGGTATCGGCGACGGCGAGCCACTCTTGCCTGTCATCTAAAATGTTCTCACCTTCTTCAGGTTTTTTGTCGCGCTTCTCAGCCGGTCTGACTTCAGTACCCTCCGCACTTTCTCCAGGCGCTCCTGGAGCCGGGCGTTTACTGCGTGCTGGTGCTCATACGCCACGTTCCTCCATTTGCTGGGGCCCGTTGAAGTAGCACGAGAGCGACGGCGATGACGGCGAGCCTTCTTGCCGGAACTTTTTGATTTTTTTAATTTTTTGGATCTGGAAAAGTGTACACGACTGCATCATTTGCTGCATTCCGCAATTCCGCTCAAGATTATGGCCGCTGGTCAGCTGATGATGCCATCTGTCTTCAACTTTGCTGGTCAGCTGGCTATAGTGCTTGGAGCACATCACTCACCAATGCACCTTCAGCATCCTGCCCATCCTGTAGCGGCAGCAAGTCAGTACTGTATAACTTGTCATTTTAAATGTACTAAAATGTCGGTAAGGCCAAACCAAAAAAGGTGTGTGGTTCGACTAACATGGACATTTTTTTTACGGGCGGGCGGGCGGATTTTTTTTTTTTTAATTTATTTTTTAGTACATGTAAATACACTGTACTGCCTTTAGACACCCAGTACATCGGCATTATTACGCAGTGTTATGCCATACATGTTGTATAAAGGGATCACTGGCTAATACTTTGAAACATTGTGTAGCTCTGGAACGAGAAGAGAATAACTTCAAGCGGTGACTCTGACTGTCCAAATCATCAAGCAAATGAAGAACGATGCGAGTTGAAAGTAAGTTCGGGAACTACTTCGAAGTACAAATTGTACAATGTACCGGTACATGTATTGCTAGTTTGGTGTCGGCGTGCACGAATACATGGGCTTTTTCCATCGACGCTTCCTGTGCTTGCACACATGGAGCAGCAACTTACCGGTACAGGTGAAATATCGTTCCCAATACACGAGGAAAGTGCAATCTCGTCTGTCCTTCATCCCAAAACAGAAGGCCGTCCTTAATCTGGAACGAGGCAATCACTCTCAACCGGACGGTCTCGCCAGTCTGCCGGTGGTCGTATCGAGTAGACTCTACTACCAGCACAAGGCAGCTGTCGTAGATCTACCACTCACTGCACTGCACTGCAGTACAACTACAAGTCAAGTCCAAAAGGAGCCGCCTGCGTCCGCAGACTCACGCTGCACAGCACGTACATGTAGACGTGGACGTGTTCAGTCCACGTACGTCAGTCACACGACAGCCCGCCGAAAAAAAGTTACGGTCGGGCTGAAAAATGTACGGTCGGTCGGGTGAGTTGAACCACAGACCTTCTTCAGTGTGGCCTAATAGGTTTTTCATTTGACCCGACGAGACCATACGACGCTTGCAGACAACAGCACGAACAGTGTCGGTAATAGGTTTTTCATTTGACCCGACGAGACCATACGACGCTTGCAGACAACAGCACGAACAGTTCACCAGCCACACTCTGCAAGCGTCGTATGGTCTCGTCGGGTCAAATGAAAAACCTATTACTACTATTTGACGGACCTATGGAAGATGGCAACAAAGAATTAAAATGTCGGTGTCAGGGACCTGCCAGGTTTCAGGTGTAATGTAGAATCAGGTCACGAGCCTACCCTTCACATACAGTGCATACAGTCAACTTCGCTTATAACGACACTCGGCGGGGCATCAGAAAAGTGTCCTTATTCGCGAAGTGTCGTTATACCCGAAGTCTCATTCTATGTATTTCAGTTGGATGGTACTTTGCTCTGGGCATGGAAATTCTGTCGTTATTCGCGAATTGTCGTTATATCCGCAGTCGTTATTAGCGAAGTTGACTGTACTCTTATAGCGCCTTTTAGATGTAATCTAGGTGCCTGGTTTCTCTACCGAAGTTACCGAAATAAAATTACACCGGAATTAATGTGCAGGGATGAATTTATCCTGTATCGCATCGCAGTTTGCGATGGAAAATCGATCTACTGCTACTCAAAAGTCACCGTGACTCGCAGAAAATTGCAATACATACAGGCTATCCATGCCCAGCCTGTGCTGTCAAGTATCATGCATACAGTGCAGTGTATGCGGTGCAGGTTCTCTCAATCTGCGTGCACATGTATGCTTTAGTCTTTTTTTTCAAATGGGCTTTCAGGCATCCGTCTCAAGAAGGAAACTGTGGTAAACATCCAACCTTCAAAGAAAAGGTTCTAATCAAAATCAAGGACTGCTACATGATTTCGTGTAGCAGAAACTGCTATGCAAAAATATGACAGTAAATTCATCCCTGATGTGTTATACAATACAAATAATAAGAGGCCGGGGAAAGTGTTTTAACTCTGAGTTTTACGCACTAAGCGATCATCAGAAGACAGCAATGAGTAAATCTGGATCAGTACTGTAAACCGCCCAATATTCGTGTCACTAAATTTTCGCGATTTCTTAGAGCCAGCGAGTTTGCGATGGCAAAAGTTTGCGAAGCACAGAGGCCACCTACATACACCCACTGTTGAAGCTTGATTTCACGATGGTTAATACTCGCGTTACGCTCTTCTCGCGAAAATAGCGAACATTAATCCGTCGCGAATATTAGGCAGTTTACAGTATTGGTTAATTTACCGACAAAGCAAAGTGTAAATGACTGCATCATGGCGCAAATCTATCCAGTACATGTGGCTGGATAATGTGCTATGGCAGTGAGATCGCGATCTGCCACAGAACTTTCATGCCGTGGCCAGTAAACACAAGAGAGATCAGGGGGGGGGGGGGGGGGGGGGCAGTTGCACTCTTGTCTTTTTGGACTCTCTTGCTCAAATTTCATGCTGCACAGAAAATTGGTCTGAGAAAAAAAGGTATTTGAGTCTGGCTACCGGACTGAGCTTATGAGAGTATGGTTTCGTTGAAGTGGCACGTGAAAACTGTACCGGGTTCAAGGTAAACAGTCAAGCAGTGTGTTGCGTTCAAGCTACACAATCAAACACCACGTTGTGTTTACGGCAGTTAGCCAACACGTTGTTGTGTTCAAGCCAGTTAGCCAAACAGTGTGCTGTGTTTACGCCAGTTAGCCAACTTTTCTGGTGTGTTTAAGCCAGATAGCCAAATAGTGTGCTGTGTTCGTGATAAGCGGTCAAATAGTGTGTTGTGTTCAAGATAAGCAGTCAAACAGTGTGCTGTGTGCTGTGTGCTGTCCAAGCTCTGCCGCTTTCTTCTTACTTATTTCCTGTGCGTTTGCTTTGCTGTGTGCTGTGCGCCGTGCGCTGTGCGCTGTGCGCTGTGTGCTGTGTGCTGTGTGCTGTGCGCTGTGTGCTGTGGTTCTGTGGTTCTGTTGCGTGACTATTGCCGTGTCTAGCCGCCGTACACGACCCGGTTGATGCAAGCGCTGGAGGGCATGGCGCACAAGTCTGGCCTGCAGGGAGCGCTGCACTACTTTGACCTGTGCCATGCCGAAGCGGTAAGCAGCTTCTGGGCGGGGGGGGGGGGGGGGGGGGGTGGCCCCAAGTCAGCCACAGTACCGATTATTTCCCCATGTCCAATTTCAAAATCCTGTCAGGATACATATCTAGCTCTATGCATCATAATGATCTGTTTGTTTCAGCTACTGTAAGTCAACAAATTTTTGGCCCACTCAAATTTCGGCCTCCCAGGGCTAAACCAATTTCGGCCGCATCAAATTCTCGGCCTGTACTGCTGCCGTCATGCTGCCTGTATGCACTGTCACACCGAACCTTGCAAAACAAAATTTCGCACCACAACGAATTTTCGGCCAAACATGGCCAGAAAATAGCCGAAAATAAATATTCGCCGAAGATTTGTTCACTTGCAGTACAATCATATTCCTACGTATTCCTGTAGCAACAGATATGCAGCTAGTGCAGTACATCTCACTGGACAAGGAGAACAGTTCAAAAAGGAGAGACTTTAGAGAGGAGTGTATGAGGATAGTACTTCCAGATAATCAATTGCACACTGAGCAGCACTTGACAAGGAGAACAGTTCGAAAGGGAGAGACTTCAGAGAGGAGTGCATGAGGATAGGTTATTAGTAAGTTATGACATACTTCCAGATAGGCTCATTGCACACTGAGCACTCATCATGAACGCTGGAATTGGTAAAAACTGGCACGGCCATGGCCGCATCAGTCATAGCAGTGGCGACCAGCACACGGGCTTGACTTCGTCTTGTACGCGTGGAGGTCAAGTCCGGTGGCTCACTGCTTTCTCTCTGTATCGTATTTCCGTGTCCCTTCACCTCATGCACACTCAGGGTATTGACATGCCGTCGCTGCGAAGATGGCCGTCGTCCCGGACCTCTCGTTTCTTCTTCACGTTCCACGCCTGGGTCAGCGTGGACAACATGTGGGAGGCGTGCAACACTAGCCATCCCACCGCCCTCTCGCAGCCCACCAACCGGCGCAAGCAACTCTACAGGTGGGTCGGAGAGATGTGTATTCTCGTACAGTACTGTGGGTCGCCAAAGAACTGGGAGTCAGCCTCCTAGCCTAGACCGTTCTTATTTTCATGTATTATAGTGCATGCACAAGTGAGTCACCATGTATACATTGGTATGCTGTGCTTGGTGAAATTCTAGCCTGGTCGTTCTTCGGCGTCCTACAGTACTGTACGTGAAATAGATTTCTAGTTTGCACACCCGATTGCATTCCTTTCTCCGGCTATAGAGTGGTGTTCATATCTTTGTCATGTGACTAGGTTCGTGCAGAAAGTGATCATGGCATGTGGACAGTGCAACCAACATATCCAACATCATGTGACCAATATATGCATGGGGTTGAGTGGAGTTGGAACCAACATGACTGTCCTGTATGGTCATGTGATAGACGCAAAACCACTCTATTCAGAGCTTGTTGCAGCAGCGAGGAAAGTTTGAGACGATTGTTCGGCACAAGTTGTTTGTCCAATGCCGCATCCAGATATCAGAAAATCTCTTAAGCCTTTTTAAAGCAAAACATGTGGTTACAGAAAGGTCTCCTCCATCTCCCCTCTGTTTGTAACTTGTAATAAAATCACGCTTCGCGTCAGACTCGGCTGGAGGCCCAGTTTTGCGCATCCGTAGGGACGCCACCACCCTCTGTGGATCAAGGCACAGATGCAACTTGTAAGTTAATCATTGAATTTGTTGTCGTCTGTTTGCTATCTCAAGTTTCTACAACTCATCCGACACCGGTTTCGAGGCGTTCTTCAACGTCCGTGGTGTGTTGGTGGTGGCCGTATGTACCAAGATGGGCTTCTTCACGGTCGCTGTCGAAGGCAGACCCATTGTGGATTCCCAGTGGGTAAGGCTATGGCTACCTTCGTTGCAGTGAACTTTCACTTGAGTGAGCGTACACCAGCCACCTGGTCACTCTGCTTACGGGATACAACTTTCACACAAACGCTTAACTCGAGTGACAGGAGCGCGTACTAACAGGCTCTAAGTTGTAGCCTGCAGGCACGTTGAGCTTTGACATTGAGCTTTGTGTAGGTCCCCACGCTTTTATACCTGGGCTTGCGAGGGGGGATACATGTATAACGGTGTTTTTCTTCAGCTTCAAAGACGAGAGATGTCACCAGGTTAGGAGAGCAGAACCTCCGACAAGACACTCGCACACATCACGGGGCACATATTCATACTGTTTATAACTGTATATTTACATTCCTATCTGCTCAGTTTGCAGCCATGACGCCTAGTAGATGTAGGGCGTCAACACTCTAGCTTACTGCCTGAGCATCCACAGCCATACGGGCTGAGAGCAGACTACTGTAATTTCACAAATTTTCGGTGTACTTTTATTTTCGGTACTTTCGGTGCATCTGTTTCATACCTAAAATTTCAATGCACCGAACAAACACTAACACACATAATCCAATAGGGAACAGCTTCCCTGTGCCAAAAATTTCTGTTCACCTAACCTGGCCTTTTGCCCTCATACCGAAAATATTGAGCACCGAAAATTTCTGAAATTAGACTATTTTACTAAGACAACTAGGAAGGTGTCATGGGGCAAGGGATCACCGGCACTAGGTGCCTTGCGCTTGCATTCTGCCTTCCGAAAGGAGAACACAGAAGGAATATCAGTCTTTCCCTTGCGCTTGCCTCCCTCGAAGTGGCGAGCACTGCACACACACACACACACACACACACACAGGTGTGCACATCATGTGACGCGAAGAGAATCTGTTTTCACGGCAGCAAGCCATTTCTTGAGTAAGGGCATATTGTTGAGAGGCAAGTGTTAAAACAAAATGCCTTTGCTGCTTTTCTTGCCGGCTTTGTGATGGCAACCAAACACTGCACAGGCTTTCATTGCGGAACACAGACAGGGGCACTGGAACTCAAAAACTGCACTGGATGGGAAAGGAAACAACTGCCAACAACAAAAACTGAAAACTTCAAAGCAAATGAAGCACAAACCTAGCACTAGGCTAAATCTACCTTCTCACTAGGGGTGTGTTTGGTTGGTAAGATCTGGATCGAGATCCATATCTCAGATCCGTCGGATCCTTCCAGACTAAACACTTGATTTTGGGCCTTGGCTGTTGCCATGGACGAAGTAATAAATTGGCGCTCACAGGACACACAAAAGGGTGAAAGCCGTACCCATCGCGCGCGCACGCGTACGAAAATTCGAAAAGCCAACAAGATCTATCTCGATCCACGTGTGTGCGTACCACAATGTGTACAACAATGATTTTTACCCGCCATATACGCACAAAGGTCACATTTGGATCCGTTGGATCCGGTCAACCCTGCTCCCCGAGGTGCGTTGACCGGACTCAAAGCCGAAGGATCCGGATCCGGATTCGACCAATCAAAAGGGTGCGAATCGATTGGATCCGGTGGATCGGGATCCCGATCCTACCAATCGAACAGCCCCTAGGCGCTAGGCGAATTGCCCCACTTCTTGCAAAAAATAATGATGAAGATAAAAAAAGAGATTATCGACCACGATGGGACTCGAACCCACAATCTTCTGATTCGAAGTCAGACGCCGTATCCATTGGGCCACGCGGTCGTGCACATATTTGCATGTTTTGGGAAATGATCTGTACTTGAACGCCACTCTATGTATTCTTTGTTATTATTCTAACTGGAAACTTTCTCTGGGTGTATGATAGGCCCACACAGATTCTGCTCCGCTCGCCTCAATATTTTGCCGCAAAATGTTGCTGCGAAATCTTCGATGTTTTGCCGAGCCTGGCACAAGAAACTCGATATTTTGCTCTATTTTGCTCCGGAAAAACGTGTAATTTATCCACTTCCCGTACAATCCAGTACGTTTCATAAAAATCGCAGGGTCGGTTTCTCAACACGGGTTTCCACGCACGTGTCCCTGAGTTCTTCCAAAATCATGTCGATCCACAGTGACTCCCAGTGATATTTCGGTGACATGATCTCGTCCTGGGCAGTGTATCTCGCTGAACGGGTGAGAAACAAGGAAATCCAAGTATCAGGCATCGATTTTACCCAACATCTCGATATTTTGCTCCGATTTTGCCGGCAATTTCCGGTCTTTCAATTCTTCGATATTTTGCTGAAAGAATTGCCGGCAGGATCTGTCTGGGCCTAGTGTATGAGCATGTTCTGCACCTGTAGTTATTGTGATTCCGTGTGTGTGTGTGTGTATGCATGCTTGCATGTGTATCTGTGTGCATACGCGCACATGTGCGTGTGCGTGTGTGTGTGTGTGTGTATGTCTGTGCACGCGCGCACGTGTGTGTATGTGCATCGCGCTACAGCACTGCGTGGACATTGTACACCAGAGTACAAGCCGTCTCTCCTCCAAAGGCCAGCTTACTGTCTACATCGACGGCAAAGTATGCAAGACTGCAGAACTCAAATGTCCCAGCATCACAGAGAAGGTGAGAAAGCAAAACTGATAAACTCATTGCGCAATGACGTAAAGTGTATATGTATGTACAGTCAACTTTGCGTATAACGACACTCGGCGGGGCATCAGAAAAGTGTCCTTATTCGTGAAGTGTCGTTATACCCGAAGTCTCATTATAATTATGTATTACAGTTTAACAGATGGTACTTTGCTCTGGGCATGGAAATTCTGTTGTTATTCGCGAATTGTCATCATATCCGGCGGCGGGGGGGATTATCCGCAGTCGTTATTAGCGAAGTTGACTGTATCCTATCTTTTCTGCTTTGTGCATTGGCACGGTTACTCTAGCTCTCAATTTCACTTTGTGTGTGTGTGTGTGTGTGTGTGTGTGTGTGTGCGTGCGCGCGTGTGTGTGTGTGTGCATGTGTACTGTGTATGTGTACTTGTGTATGTGTATGTGCACGTGTGCGGGTGTGTGTGTGCGTGCACTCGTATGTGTGAGTGTGTGCACGCGTGCATATATGTGTACTGTATGTGTGTGTACGTGTATGTGTGTGTACGTGTATGTGTGTTTGTATGTGTGTGTATCTGTGTGCAGTCCTGGTCGTCGTGTCACATAGGCCGTGGTGGCAAGCAGACCATTCCGGCGTACCTCCCCAACGTACGCTACACTGCCTCACCCACCTCATCTCTCACCGGCATGGAGACTCCGGAAACGCCGACGAACATGTTCATGAACGAAACCGAAGCCCCGCTAACAACACAACAACATGATGTCATGGACCCGAATGACTTGCTGATGAGCAATGAGCAGCATCCGTCTAGTGTGAGTGCTGGCGTACAAGACGCGCACTGGGGTACGCCCACGTCGCTGCACGGACAGCTCGCGTCCGTCTGTGTCTTCAACGAAGCGCTCACCGAAGAAAAAGTGCAGCAGCTGCATGCTAAAGGCAAGTGAATACCGTGTATGAATGCACGTGGATGTGAGTGAG